TTTTTACCAAAGTATATCTCGTTTTTAAACTCTATTGCACCCCAGTCGTACAACGGTAAGTCTGAAGGCTTATAACGTTAAAAAACCCTGTTTCGACACAACACAGATATTCAGTTGTATTGCTTTGTGATTAACTAGAAAGAAACATATAAACACTTTTTTATACAAACTAATTTGCAAATGGAAATCTATTCGTTTTATTGGCTCTAATTTATTTATATGAAAACCTATTCGTTTTATTGGTTATAATTTATTTATATGAAAACCTATTCGCTTTATTGGCTATAATTTATTTATATGAAAACAGATTCGTTTTATTGGCTATAATTTATTTATATTTAAACCTATTCGTTTTATTGGCTATAATTTAATTATATGTTTGTTTCCTTTGAGGTGGTGAAAATGCTTGCTGTTGTCGTGGCTATTTTCGCAACACTCTGGCTGCCCTATCGAGCTCTTGTTGTCTACAACTCCTTTGCAAAACACCGCTACATGGAGGCCTGGTTCCTGATGTTCTGTAAGACAATGATTTTTATCAACAGTGCCATCAACCCGATCCTGTACAACGCCATGTCGGTCAAGTTTCGGCGTGCTTTCAGAAGGACCTTATCTTGCCGTAAGCAACAGCAATGTCACCGTGGGCCATACGGAAGCGTACCAGGGTCTACCAGATATCTTCCGAGCACCCTAACAACTGCAACAACAAGGCCAGCTTCCTGTAGGATAGAGAAATTACAACAAGTATAAATCAACGTTGGTTTCTTCTGTCTTCTACAGGTTGAGGATGAAACATCGCCTTCCACCTGTATCAGTAACAGTAAGAACACTATCATACAAATTAGAAACATATATTATAACCTATTTAAATCAACACTGTCTTATTAAACAAAGATACAGATTAAAACATCACCACCCACTTCACTTTACTATGACAATAAGGACATTACAATACGAGACACAGAAATGAATATTGATTTCAATTATATCTAACATAAATTAGAAAAGCGGAAAAAGTAACAAGTTACTATATGCATAGTAATCAGAGCGTTAAGTAGGAAGATATATACTCCAGGAAACCAGAAGAAATCAACCACTGACCCAACCAAGAAACACAACCCATAACCTTACATAATTAACAAGCAACTTAACGTTCTTGAAGTTTTAGAAGCTGTAAACAAACGTTGAATCATCAAACACGTCATCGGAACAAATAAATAAGATAAACGTGAACAAACATTAATTTTCTATAAGTCATAAGCAAGAAAGATACGATAATACCTTCTCATTGTCAGCCGGAAATTTTCTGAAAACTCTGAAAATTACATCACCGTTAACAAGACTTATGATGGTAAAGTTGCCAATATGGAATTGCAAACAACCAGCAAAACAAACTAACTATAGAAATGTTTCAAAGTAAAGAGGCTTCTGGATCTCGAAGCTGAAACAAGATTTGTTTCTAAAATTCTTCTGGTAATTATAGTAAATTAAGAAGAAAAACCTGGCGGGGATTTTGATTATTAAAGATGGAGAGGATAGTTGGACAAAAGAGAGACCGAAACCATTTACTATAAATGAGGAAAAATTATTAAATTCAAATACACATAGATATGGCTTTCATTGTCGTGATCTCCTTTATGTTACTGAATTTTGCAAATTTTATTTTTTCCTATAGAACCTGCTTTTTAGAGCATAACCCCACAATACTGGAAATATTTCTTCTATCTGGAACATTATAACTGTTTCTAGATTTGTCGTTAATGTTCTATTTAAGCTTTCGTCTTGTGGTTGTTTTTCAAGTGCGTGAAAAGCTGTTTTTAGTATGATAAAACTATAATTAACCTTTTACTCTTCTCGCCACCGATAAGAAAGAGCAGACGTGAATACAAAAGTGAAGAAGATATACGTTTGACACTTAATCAATTAATATTTGCAGTGTTTTGTCGTTTATTGTTCATAAATGTTAGAAGTATTGAAATTGTAATTGTTTGTGTATAATGTTATTATATTCTATAAGTCCGTGAAACGCTAAAGCTTAAGCCGGATCCATGGATCAACAGGATAGAGCTACTGGTAACTCCTGTTCTAAAAGTTCAGAAAGGAACACTACTGAGTAAGTTGGCGTGGGTCAACGTTATGGAGTCCGTGGTAACTCCCGTTCCATACGTTCAGAAGGAGACACTACTGAGTAAGATGAAATGGATAAACAGTATGAGGTCATTGGTAACTCCTGTTCAATACGTTCAGAAAGGGACACTACTGAGTAAGTTGAAAGGGATAAACAGTCTGAAGTCACTGGTATCTCCCGTTCCATACGTTCAGAAAGGGACACTACTGAGTAAGTTGGTGTGGATCAACATTATGGAGTCAGTGGTAACTCCCGTTCAGAAGGGGATACTACTGAGTAAGTTGACATGGATAAACAGTATTGAGTCTCTGGTAACTTCCGTTCCAAACATTCAGAAAGGGTCATTACTGGGTAAGTGTCATGTTGAAGTTTTTAACTTTATTATTAAAATTTGGTTCAGGTTTTAATGAGCGCTAACTGCATGTACGATGTTGCACTCTGTAACTTTGTTGTTAGAGCTGGTCTAAACTGTTGTAGATTCTATCATTATATTTCTTATAAGGTTTTAGTGCGTCTAAGCAAAATCACATTAGATATATGAGAAACAAAGTCTAGAAAAAAATAATTTACTGCAGGAAGATGGAGATGGAATGTGTAAAGAAAACTGTGAAAACATTTAAAAAAAATTAAATAACTATTTTGTTTGTTGTTAAGCATAAAGCTACACAGTAGACTATCTCTGTTATGCTCACAGCGGGTATCAAAACCCGACTTTTAGCATTATAAACCAACTGACTTACCGCTGAGCGACCAGAAGGCTTTAAATGATTAAAAGGAAGTAAACGAAATATTTTAAGATGGTATTCACACTTGTGCAAATGTATTATTATTTTTAATTTTGCAAACCGTAACGTTACCGTAATAATTTAAAGTATTATTTTCTTATCAACAGAAATATTCTAAGATGGTATTCACACTTGTGCAAATGTATTATTATTTTTAATTTTGCAAACCGTAACGTTACCGTAATAATTTAAAGTATTATTTTCTTATCAACAGAAATATTCTAAGATGGTATTCACACTTGTGTAAATGTATTATTATTTTTAATTTTGCAAACCGTAACGTTACCGTAATCATTTAAAGTATTATTTTCTTATCAACAGAAAAATTTTTCACTCGCATTTGAAGAACCCTCCGTACAAATTAAGGCCCAAGTTGCTCAGTAGCCTAATTGAGAAAAGAACTTATCATGTTATAACACTTGATTTGATTCACAATTTAAAACAGAAAAAAAAATCCAGATTCAAATCCTTTACTAGCTAGCGCCAACATAATTATATCAATAAACTTCAAGTGTTTAAATGACATAGAAATAGTCTTACAACTATTTGGAGACTTTAAAAAGCCCGTTTTTAATTGTTTGGGGGGCTTCAAAAAACGCCTTTTAGCTGTTTTGGGACTCAGAAAAGAGTGTTTTTTTAACTGGAAAAGTAGAAAGATTTACTTTAACTTTATGGAGACTTAGTAAAGCATTTGTATTTTCTATTTATGCAATTGTATTTATGGCAAAGCTATTAAGACTACCTGCCGCTGTCCCTGATTTTGAACTACTGATCTAAAAGAAGGAAGCACGCTAAGTGATAGACTGTCATTCTTATAACACTCCTTCGTCTTAAAGTGCATGGAATATTTTGTGTAATTCCACGGATTAGAACCCGGTTCCATCATCCGTTTATGAAAAGTGATCACATACTTAGAGAATCACAAATGTCTTTTTTTTTTGGGGAGGGGCTTTCGTTTATTTGTTTTATTGGATTACACGTAAATCTGTAAGAAGGATTTCTGCCCTATCCGTCCCTAATTTTTAAGTGATAGATTAGAAGGAAGGTAATCAATACCACCCGCGGTCAACTCTTGGTCTTCTCTTTTCAGACAGAATAGTGGGATTTGACCATTGCTTTTACAAGCTCTACGGCCTCAAAATGCGAAGCGCATTTGGGGGGGGGGGGCGTTAACGGAACGCTAACCACTGAGCTCTTTTTAGTTGTTTGGGGAATTATAAAAAAAAAAACGTTTTTAACTATCATCGGACTTCAGAGAATGTTTTTAACTGATTGTGGGAATAAAAAAATATTTATAATTCTTTGGGGGACTAAGAACAACGTTTTTGATTCTTTGTAACTTAGAAAAGTGTTTTTAATTAATTGGAGGGTGGGGGGTCTAGAAAAACTTTTAAACTGGATATGGTATTTGTGTGTAGCAAACATTTTTGATCAAGTCCTAACATTATCAATGAATGTTTTTTTACTAATTTTTCATCGTCTCTTATTTCTTACAATAACAAATGTTATTATACTAAAGGCATCATTAGGTATTAGAGAAACCATTGTACTAATGAATGAAATATTTGTGAAACGCACCGTTTCCCAAATCTGTAGTTATAGAATTTCATCACGCACCAACGGCTACAAGTAGTAATTATGTTATAGATGTTCTTATCTGACAATCGTAAATAGCAACAATTCATCTGATTCTGAAAGACATCAATGAACGTTTCTTTCTTCTTGTGTCATGTAAGTAATTATTTGGTTAGGCAATCGGGAATTGGTGATCAATCAGTCACCAGAAAGTGATTCTCGTGTGCTTCACTATCCAGGAACAGAGATTAGTAGCAGCCAAGCTAACGTTTAGAACAAACTCATGTCATTTTTATTCTTTTAATTTACAGCTTGAATAGCTTTTAACAAAACCGTACATTTGCGCAAACAGACCAGCTTCTTGCAAGTGGCATCCGTGTTATACAAAACGAGGAAGGGAGGTCTTTGAAAGGCAAAGATTACACGAATCTAATATTTCAACTGCATTCTGGACAGTAAATTCTGTCAGATACAGTCTCTCGTTGATCACACCACGTGGTCTAGCTTGCTTACTTTGTGTCATTATTGTAATGGGATTAACAAAGGTTCTGGTTTAAATAGTAAATTTAGCTAATGAGATACAAAAACTAATCTCTTTAGACTGTCTGTAAAATGGGCTTAAAGAATACTCTCAGAGTTTAACTTGTCTATTGAGAACTTCTGCGTTTCCTTGATCAAACATTGAGATATGTTTAATTATATTTCCTACCTTCAATGCCACAAGCAGGGAAGGATGTAAAATCGACTTATATTTATTACTAAAAGTCTAGTTTACTGCCAACGTATTAACATTAATGCTGACATTTTTTTCATAAGTGCATCAAAAATAGTTGCCTATAAGTTAGAGAATTATAGTGAACGTGCTCTTTGCCGTGCAGTTTAGCATCTCATGGTATGGGAATACATATACAAGTCTATGGAAATTAAAATTAAGTTCTTTCGGTGAGGAAGTTAACCCAAATTTTTGTAGAGTGGCTTGTAATGTAGTTTTTAAAACCATTAAAACCCAAAGTCACGAACGCATATGACTTGTAGATCAGCATTTATAGCTTTATCACTGCTTTCTAGCAAAACTGGTAAAGGTATACTTTATTTATGTGCGTGAATGACTTTTGTAAAGAGAGGGCTAGAGGAAAACCTTTAGTGTTATTGTTATTTAAAAGTTGAGATTATATTTAAATTAGTGAGGGTAGCACGGTACCAACTCTTGCATATATACATATACTTTCTGGGCATTTGCCCTATTTGTACAGGATTTTAGCAGTGTAGTTAGAATGGATGTTGTGCAACACATTTAACTAATGCAGTACGTTTCTCTGATTATTAAAGTATTATTACCACCTATTGGCTTTTTCATATAACTAGCTCAAGAATAAACATCATTAGTGCACTTGTTCACACGTTGCAGTGTAAACAGAAAGCAAGACAGCTGACTTTTGTCTAACAAGATGGAGCCATACGATTTTAATTCTTTGACAGATTTCGTGTTTACATTGAAGTACTGAACACTTATTTAGCGTATA